GGTGGAGAGGGAGGTGGGAGGGGGGACCGGGATGGGGAATACATGTAAATCCATGGCTAATTCATTTCACTGTATGACAAAAACCACTGCAATGAAGTAAAGTAATTAGCCTCCAACTAATAAAAATAAATGGGAAAAAAAATAAAAGCAATTAGAAGAAAAAACATTAGGTAAAAAAAAAATAAAGTAATTAGCCTCCAACTAATAAAAATAAATGGAAAAAAAAAAGAAAAAAATATTCTAAATAATAATAATAATAATATTTGTTCTTTGTGTTTGATATTTGTTAATTTGATTAATGTGTGTCTTGGGGTGTTTTGCCTTGGGTTTATCCTGTTTGGGACTCTCTGGGTTTCCTGGACTTTTGTGACTCTTTCCTTCCCCCTTTTTAGAGAAGTTTTCAACTATTAGCTCCTCAAGTATTTTCTCATGGCCTTTCTTTTTGTCTTCTTCTCCTGGGACTCTTATGATTCAAATGTTGGGGCATTTCACATTGTCCCAGAGGTCCCTGAGGTTGTCCTCATTACATTTGATCAGCACAGAACAATGTTGCTGTTCAGTCTCTGTCCTTGCTAAATCCTGCTTGTACACCTGGAAGTTATTGGTTCACATACTATTGAAACCTAGCTTGAAGAATTTTGTCAGCATGTGAAATGAGTGCAATTATGCAGCAGTTTGGATTATTTGGCATTGCCCTTCTTTGGGATTGAGATGAAAACTGACCTTTTCCAGTACTTCAGCCACTGCTGAGTTTTCTGGACAATGCAGACAACCTGAAAACAACAGGACTTCACCAAATTCCACTGTTCAACCTCTTCAGTGTAGAAAAGAAACCTGGTAGAAAAAAAGGGATTCCGAAATCTGGTTGCTGCTGAGGGTGCCCCATGGGAAGGTATGTGGTTACCTGTGCTCCCCCAAGGTCATGGGTTCAGCAGCTCTCCATCCAGCATCTGTGCTGGGACTGCAGCCTTCTCTCAAGGGTTAATGAGGCGCCCTCCTGAGTGAGGATGAGGGGGTCCAGTCACCCCGGAACAGAGGGTTCCATAGAATACAACTCCACCCCTACTGGGACTCCTGTGTGTCCCGGTCAGGGCTGTCAAGCTGAGCCCCCAACCTGCCCCACACTTTCTCAGTGAACACGGGGAGTCAGAGGCTTGGTCTGTGGGGTGCAGTCTCAGGTGGGCAGTGGGAGGGGGCCCACATCCTGCGGAGACTCAAGGTGAGAACCAGAGCAGACTGAGGGTCCCCAGCGGATGCATGTGCAGCCCTCCCGACAGCCCTGGGGGACCGTGCGTCTTGGCGTGCAGATGTGACGTCACTGAACCCGATGGGAGGGGAGAAGTGAGGGACTGGGTCAGGTGCCTGGGTTCAGGTCAGCAGAGTGAAGGAACCCAGCTGTGCTAGTAGTCAAGGTAGACCCTTGAGGGGGCTCTGGGACCCCAGGACATCCAGGTTGTCAATGCTCTCAGCTCTGGGAGACCCCGGCAGGATTGTGGGAATGAGCACGTTACTCCCGCTTGCCTCCCAGGGGTCCTGGCTGGGGAGGGCCTGGATCTAAGGGGAGCAAGGTCTGGGTGAGAGGCTGGTACCCTGACCTGCTGAGAGTCAAAGTGAAGAGCAGAAGGAGGGTTGAGGAATGTTGGGGCATCATCTCAGCTCTGGGAAGCCCTGGGCTTGGAGCCCTGATATCATGTCCAAAGATTGCCCCTGGGGGTGGCTCTCAGGGCAGTGACGGCCTTGGTGTGAGGGTTCCGCCTCCACTCAACACAAGGGGCATCCCCGGACCTGCCAGGGCTCAAGATGAGGACCTTGAGGGAGGATACAGGGAATCCCACCGGTCCCGGCACCTGCTGTCAGCACGGGGCAACTCTGGTGGGGGCATGAACTCGGGGTCTCAGGGACATTGGAGACTTGATATAAGTGGGGAAGCCTCAGCGATTGGAGGGGTGATTCTTAGGTTCTGAAGGAGTTTAGGTGAGGACACTGAGGGAGGATTGAGGGGATGCTGGACCCCAATCAGAGGAGACTTAAGAGAAGCCCATCCTGGCTGTTGGTCCTGGGAGACCCTGGGGTATGATGAGCACAACAGGCATGGCCTGACTTCCTGACATCCGGGTCTCAGACTGGGGACCTAGTACAGGGGGCTGACTTCCTGACATCCGGGTCTCAGACTGGGGACCTAGTACACGGGGCTGACTTCCTGACATCTGGGTCTCAGACTGGGGACCAAGTACAGGGGGGGCTGACTTCCTGACATCCGGGTCTCAGCCTGGGGACCTAGTACACGGGGCTGACTTCCTGACATCCGGGTCTCAGTCTGGGGACCTAGTACAAGGGGGCTGACTTCCTGACATCCGGGTCTCAGACTGGGGACCTAGTACACGGGGCTGACTTCCTGACATCTGGGTCTCAGACTGGGGACCTAGTACACGGGGCTGACTTCCTGACATCTGGGTCTCAGTCTGGGGACCTAGTACAAGGGGGCTGACTTCCTGACATCCGGGTCTCAGACTGGGGACCTAGTACACGGGGCTGACTTCCTGACATCTGGGTCTCAGACTGGGGACCTAGTACACGGGGCTGACTTCCTGACATCTGGGTCTCAGTCTGGGGACCTAGTACAAGGGGGCTGACTTCCTGACATCCGGGTCTCAGACTGGGGACCTAGTACACGGGGCTGACTTCCTGACATCTGGGTCTCAGACTGGGGACCTAGTACAGGGGGGCTGACTTCCTGACATCTGGGTCTCAGACTGGGGACCTAGTACAGGGGGGCTGACTTCCTGACATCCGGGTCTCAGACTGGGGACCT